TAAAGCATTTCGCTTTAATAATACATTTATTGTCGATACACATTCTTTCACACATTTAATATACAATACCCCATATTTTATTTACAGAAAGAGTATAAGGTACTTCACCTCATTCCAGTTTCTGGCTACTTTCATTTAAAAACCCCTTCTTGGGCAAGAACCTATTTCTATTAGTAATAGTAAGATTAATTAGTTTATACCTGTGTATTCCATACTGGTTAACAGGAGGTAGTTTTTCCTTTAAAGTATTGATATTATAAATTAAGTATATATAAGTATATATATAAGTATATATAGATAGTATTTAGAGGTGTTTTAATATTAATATGTAATATGTTATTTTAATGAAATGAACACATTGATTTTATGTGTTGATTGTATAACTTATATTGAAATTGTCTGCTTTTAGGGGTTTTTTTACTGAATATCAAATAAACTGTTGTGAAACTGAACCCTTGTGTGGTCGTTTTATAGATAATTTGACCCCCTACAACAGGTCTTTGCTCAAGAAGGACTGATAGGTCGAACTTGAAGACTAACAAGTGTTTTGTCAGCATGACTGAGCTCCCCTTCAAAGAAATCTTTCTGCCTGGTAAAAAGGCCAAGTGGTTCCTCCTTTGCCTCCTTAAGTGCAGCCAGTACCCTCTTCACGACATCAATTCCCTCGATATTTCTGATTTCGGTGCCTCGATATGGCCGATTTTGTTGGCTGCTGCAGTGTAGAATGTCTGCATCCATGGCCCTGTGAGTAGTTTGCCAAGAAGGCCTAAAACCTGCATTTGGATTTGTGCAGTTTTGGTTTTCGAAATAATTTCGAATGGACGTCTGCAGCCCGCCACAGGAGACTGTTCCGGTTGTGAAGAAGTTCAGCAACAAGTCATAGTGCTCTATAAATTTGCCACAAATATGGAAAAGAATGTGAAGTCTATTCCCTCGGTATCTTGGGATAATCCCTTTTGGTAGACCGTTGTCGTTTAAAAATGTTAAAAAGCCTTTTAGGTCACCTTTCGCGCCCTTATACCTAAAGTTGTTGATTTGAAGCACAAGGTTTCCTGCAATACAATCTTTACCAAATAGCTGACCTTTGGCTGTCTCGTGTGACTTCAGTGCTCATCTACATGAGCTGGCTATAGTATCCAAAGGATGAAGATGGCAATTCAGTTCATTTAGAGTTTTTCCCCAATTTTCATTAATCTTCCTAATACTTGCATGGTTTACACACACTCTGTCAGTCAATGTATTAGAAATGTGATAAATCATTGTATTTCTACAATGCTGATAGTCCTCCTCATGGAAATCTGCGTACACTTTGGCCAAATTGTCTATAGACGAAATGACGTGATCACTATAATCCTCCGCCGTCCCTCGAGCTAGTTCATCAACATACACTATCTGGCACTCAGATTTTGATGTCAGATGAATGCTATTAATATGGGTTCCTTCTTGGGTTATGGCATCAAATCCTAGAGTAAGGTTAGTTGTTTTCATCAATAGTTCTGAGGTTTTGAGGTCTGATATCGAATCTTATTCTCTTGTCGTCTCTTCCACTGTTATGCGATGTGGCACAGCAGTTAGTGTTTCTCCAGTCTGTTTCGAATAACTCGTAATCAGAGGCGGAATATTTTGGGTGGGAACCTGGTTTACCACAGCATCATAAACCATCCTTCGTGTGGCAACGTTGTAGATTTTTCCATCTTTCTTGGTTTGCTTTTGAAGGCCACTGGTCTGTTGACTAGTTAGTTCCTCAATAACCTCTTCAAGTTCAACTTTTTCATTTTCTAAACAAATGATTCTTTCGTTTTTTGTAACCAACTCCTTTTTTATACGCCCACATTTTCATGTGGACGTATATTGTCGTCGCCCCTGTCCGTCCGTCCGTCCACAATTGTTTGTGAACAGTCTACAGGTCACAATTTTTATCCGATTTCAATGAAACTTGCAATATAGGTTTATCACCCTATGATCTTGGTTGCTTTCGATATTGGCATGTATCGGATTGAAACTTCATAGATTATGGCCCCTGTTTGTACGAAAAATCATATTTTTAGCTTGCGGACCCTATAGAGGTCACAATTTTTATCCGATTTTGTTGATTTTTGAAATATAAGTTTATAACCCAAAGATCTCGGTTCCTTTCGATATTCGCGCATATCGGATCGTAACTTCCTGAATTATGGCCCCTGATTGTACGAAAAATTTCGTTTTTAGCTTGTGAACCCTATAGAGGTCATAATTTTTATCCGATTTAAAAAAACGTATTATTATATCATCGTTACACCCTAAGGATGGCGGAATTCGAATTTCGTGAAAATCGGCCCAAAACTGACAGACAAAATGGCCGCCCCTCGTTCTCAAATAGCTTAAAAATATGGTATATCAAGGTTGTGGACCCTATAGAGGTCACAACTTTTATCCGATTAAGTTTAAACTTGAAATGTATGATTATAACCCAAAGATCTCGGTTCCTTTCGATATTCGCACATATCAGAGCGTAACTTCCTGAATTATGGCCCCTGATTGTATGTTTTAGCTTGTGGACCCTATAGAGGTCATAATTTTTATCTGATTTAAAAAAACGTATTATTATATCACCGTTAAAACCTAAGGACGGCTGAGTTTGAATTTCGTGAAAATCGGCCCAAAACTGACAGACAAAATGGCCGCCATTCGTTCTCAAGGAGCGTAAAAAATATGGTATATCAAGGTTGTGGAGCCTATAGAGGTCACAATTTTTATCTGATTTTGTTGAAACTTGAAATGTAAGTTTATAACCCAAAGATCTCGGTTCCTTTCGATATTCGCGCATATCGCACCATAACTTCCTGAATTATGGCCCTTGATTGGACAAAAAATCACGTTTTTAAAAACCCACATTTTCATGTGGACGTACATTGTCGTCGATCCTGTCCGTCCATCCACAATTGTTTGTGAACACTCTACAGGTCACAATTTTTATCCGATTTCAATAAAATGTTTAAATATATCACTGTTACAACCTATTGATGCTCAACTTCGAATTTAGTGAATATACCAAAACTGAGACAAAATGGCCGCTCTATGTATGCAAATAGTGTTATAGTATGTAATTTTAAGGTTGTGGACCCTCGCTAGATGTCACAATTTAGATCAGATTTTGATGAAACCATGGACCTGTATTACAAGTTCCATGATGAAACTTAAAACATGTGTTTATGTCCCAAAGATCTCTGATCCTTTTGATATTTCCTGGATTATGGCCCCTGATTGTAGGAAAAAATCATTATATTAGCTTGTTGACTGTTGACTCGCATAGAATCACAATTTTTATTTGATTTTAAAAATTGTTTAAATATTTCATGGTTACATCCTAATGATGGTCGAGCTCTAATTTCATGAAAATCAAACCGAAACTGCCAGACAATTTGGCCATTCCTTTTACAGTCGGACCAAGACAGAAGACCACTCGGACCAATGTTTTTGAAATAATAAAGTATTGTTTTAATAAATTGATGATTGTGTTTGTTTTAGTACATTTGTTTTCTTTGTAGCCTACTTATACTTGTGTTATTATCTCCTCATGAAGCACAGAAATAAAAAAAAACAGTGACAACAGAGTACTTATTAATTCTTTATACTGCTGAAAAGACTATTCTTTGTGCGTACTATATTTATCGATTTGTATTGCCTTTTATTGCAAGCTTCTTTTGATGATGCCCAAATACTTTCTTCTTTCCACAATCCATCTTTTGACCGATATTTAGCCAAACTAGCCATTACTTTGCTTTCATTAAGTTTGTAGTGTGATGCAAGGGAACTAATGAATCCATATTCTTTATCAATTTCCATATCACCAACAGGTAAAGCATTTCAGTAACGGTTGGGATCTAGCATATAGGCAGCGGCATGAATAGGCTTAAGGCAAAATTGCTTTCTTTTCTGTAAAAATCCAGGTACGGACTTCTCTTCAGCTTTTGTAAGGGGGCATTGCTGGACATTTTCAGTAAGTTTTGTTTCCAATTCATTGAAAATTCTAAACACATCAGATAGAATTGCTTTATCTCCTTCTACTTCAGTTATTGCTTGAGCTATTGGTTCTATGAGCTTTAAAGTGTTTGTTAACCTTGTCCAAAATATATCGTTATGATAACTTATTAGGTAATATCTTTCGGATATCAGCTTCAATACTGATAGATTCCATTATGGCTAATTCTTGCAGGGATTCTTTTCCATCTAAAAGACTTTTAAACATTATGACTAGTTTTAATAGTTTATATAGATGAAAGTAAAAGAGAAAAAAGTAAAAGAGAAAAAGGAAATTCCAGTAAATAATTATAATTTTAGTATTTTCAGTTCAAAAAATAGATTTGAAAATTCCCGTAAAGTTTCCCTGAAAACTTTCCAAAATTCCCGGAAAGTTTCCCACCCTTTGCAACCCTACTTGCCATAAAGTGTACATAGTGACCACTGGCTATAAGTAGAAGTACAGAAAATGTTGTATGGTGCTCTTTAATTGTATTTCATTGTTATCTTTGTTGCATATTCTTCTGTATTTATTTGTCTACTATTCACATAATAATATTTGTGTTGTCTGTGATATCACCCAAGATGGAAGGGGACGTTAAGCCTTAAGCAACGAAACAACCACAGATTTGTATCATTTGCTTGATAAAGACGAGAGTATATCCTCGAAACGTCGCATAGTATCAAACCAAATAATTGTGAATCCCGAAAATTGTACGTTGTGTTAATCAATATGTTTAATTACTAAATGCCTATCAAAGAAGTTCATGTAATATAATGATTGTTATTGATTTTGTTATTATTTTTTGTGAACCTTAGGGGTGCTTACTTGGTCTCAGTCAGAGGCAACTAGTTGGTCCCCCCCCCCTCGCTTTAAGTACAATGTTAATCAAATTGCACTTTTTAGTTGACCTTGAAAAAAGTCACCAGGTAAGGTCATTTAAAGATGCATTATTTAAGATTGAGAGTGTTTGACAATCTTTGAGTACTTTATTAAATAGGTGAAGTACACCATGGTGATACAGTTATGGATTATATGGAACAAGAAAGGGTTAGAGGAATTACAATTAGTTCAGCAGCTATAACATTACATTGGAATAAATATAAAATAAATCTAATAGATACACCAGGTAAATACACTAATTTATAGATCTAATTTTTATACGACCACATGGAAGTATTATGCAGTCTGTCAGTACGTCTTTTCACATTTTGATTGTGGACCCTCTACAGGTCACAATATTTATCCGATTTTGACAAAACTTAGAATAGTAGATGGGTATAGATAAAAATGCACCTAGAACAAACTGCAACAGAAATCAGATCTTTGGGGACTGTTGAGGCATAGTCTCTAGTACTCCCATAACAAAAGCGGCATAATAAATGTATTGCTGACCTACAGGAAATCGATACTCGGGAGTTAAAAAATTCCGACATTTTTTACCTACATCATTTTGCCGGCATTACACCATTCTTATTGTGATGTCACATAGATTTAGACTATAAACACTAGATAGCGCTCAGCCTATATGAGTCTAATAATAGAATGGTCTCGCTCAGGAGAAACAAAATGGCGGCTATAAATTCCGATCAAGTATTATTTTTGGTTAGGCCCATTGGTGGACCAAGTTAAATCTATTTAATTCAAGGATATTTTTTCCCAAAACAGAATGAGACATGGGAGTACATCTAAATAAAAACATAGAGTTTTTATTCATTTTAATTTTGAAATGAAAAAAGGCTTTTTTTTCCTTTTAGGTCTAGTTAGGGTAGAGCTCAACTGGACGTTATGCCGTAGCCTAGGCCTACTAACAACTAATTTATTTTTAAGATTAGTACCATATTTTTTTATTTAGTGTAGGCCTACTCATTAAAAATATTTTGGTGGAAAATATGTCTGAATTTTAATTGGCCTAGTTAAATTTTGAATTATCTCTAAATGGACAGACTTTATTATGTTGAGTTTGGAAAAAATACCCCCAAAACAACAAACAATTATTGTTTCACTTACCTTATCGATTAAATCAATTATTGTTCCACACATCATCAGGAATTAATTATTCATGGATGTTTTGATGTTTGATTAGCTTTGACATATCTTTCTTTAATTGTATTTTTGTGATGGTGCACAATCATCTTAATAAAGATCCTACAGATTTCATTTATCATCTCTGATAGCCTACTAAGTAGTGACCATTGAATAAAAAAGACTTGTTATCAAATAAACATCTTCAAGATCAAATTACATTTATAACAAAAAACTGACACAACAAGTTAATTAACTGTTTTGATAACAATTGTATTACAATTATTTGATACAGTAATATGTAACAATAAAGAACTATTTCTCTCCCGAATAAAATCTCTTTACTTTAAATGCACTACCAAAGGCGCTACACAATTACGCATTTTAAAAGAAATTTCAAAACTTCCATTTCTTCAAAATAACAAGTTTGACATTTCTTGTAAGTATATAACCGACTACATACTGGATAATGATCCAATTTAAATTTTATTTTAGATTTTCTGTAGTTACCTAACCCTGTCTGAATTACCTCCCTCAATTTTATGCCTTTATAAATACACTTAGATAGTATGATTTCTTCAACATACTGTTTTGCATTTCTTGTGTGGGGTATTATATTAATATATTATAAATTGTACAATTACACAACTTAATAATTCCGATTAGTCGCTAAAACTTATAGTTTTTAAGCTTTTAACGTTATTTTATCTGAATTATCGCCCTTATTATTGTGATTTTTTATACGCCCACATTGAAATGTGGTCGTATATTGTCGTCACCCCCGTCCCTCCGTCCGTCCATCGGTCCAGCGTCCACAATTGCTTGTGGACGCTCTAGAGGCTAAAGTTAATATCCAATTGACTTTAAATTTATACACAGTGTTTAAGGTCATGAGACGAAGAAGCCTATTGATTTTCAGTGATTTCAGATAATTACTGCCAGAGTTATGGTCCTTGATCACTTTCAAAATCTTGTGGACGCTCTAGAAGTTAATATCCGATTGACTTTAAATTTATACACAGTGTTTAATGTCGTGAGACGAAGAAGCCTATTGATTTTCAGTGATTTCCGATAATTACTGCCAGAGTTATGGCCCTTGATCACTTTGAAAAATCTTGTGGACGCTCTAGAGGCTAAAGTTAATATCCGATTGACTTTGAATTTATACACAGTGTTTAATGTCATGAGACAAAGAAGCCTATTGATTTTCGGCGATTTCTGATAAGTACTGCCAGAGTTATGGCCCTTGATCACTTTGAAAAATCTTGTGGACAATCTAGAGGCTAAAGTTAATATCCGATTGACTTTAAATTTATACCTGGTGTTTAATGTCACGAGACAAAGAAGCCTAATGATTTTCGACGATTTCTGATAAGTACTGCCAGAGTTATGGCCCTTGATCACTTTGAAAAATCTTGTTGACGCACTAGAGGTCAAAGTTAAAATCCGATTGACTTTAAATTTATACACAATGTTTAAGGTCATGAGACGAGGAAGCCTTTTGATTGTCAGCGATTTTCGATAATAACTGCCAGTGTTATGGCCCTTGATCACTTTGAAAAATCTTGTAGACGCTCTAGAGGCTAAAGTTAATATCCAATTGACTTTAAATTTATGCACAGTGTTTAAGGTCATGAGACGAAGAAGCCTATTGATTTTCAGCGATTTTCGATAATTACTGCCAGTGTTAAGGCCCTTGATCACTTCAAAAAATCTTGTAAATGCTGTAGAGACTACAGTTAATATCCGATTGACTTTAAATTTATACACAGTGTTTGAGGTCATGAGACGAATCATATTGATTTTCAACGATTTTCGATAATTACTGCCAGAGATATGGCCCTTGATCACTTCAAAAAATCTTGTAAATGCTCTAGAGGCTACAGTTAATATCCAATTGACTTTAAATTTATACACAGTGTTTGAGGTCATGCGACGAAGAATCATATTGATTTTCAACGATTTCCGATAATTACTGCCCAAGTTATGGCCCTTGATCACTTTGAAAAAATCTTGTGACACTGATACACTGAGTTTAAGGTCTTGAGACGAACAAGTATATTGATTTTCAATGAATTTTTATGACTTGAACAACTAAATCCATGATGTTAAAAGTTTCGTATACTATATGTTAGCCTGGGCCCGAACTTTATAAAAACCAAACAAATTCTAATTGTTTTCTGATAAATACTTAATGAGTTGTTACTCTTAATCAGATTTTAATGTATTATAAATGTTTAATTACCGAAAAAAGTAAAAATATGCAACAACTCTTGTTGACTCCCCGGACGATTTCGCTGCTGTGGGCGTATGTTTCGTTGCCTGGCAACCTATCTTTATCACCTTCTAAGATATGACGTCATTCCCAAAATAACGTCGCAACTCAGTCAGCAGACTGTTGTCCCTCGAGACCGTCTACATTTCGTATTTGCTTCTTTGTATTCAGTTTTGTTTTTGTTTTTGTGACGGATGGAACATGTACCATATGTATTGAATAAGCTTACTGAAGCGTTTCTTGATTGAATTTAGAGTTTAGACTACTTTTTTATACATTTCACCGATGTGGTTACTTGTATAGTTGAATTTTACTACATATGCTTACATTCTTATTACGTGTAGCATCTAGCAGATCATGACTCATGCTGGCATTGCACAATGGGTTCTTTGGGTTGTATTCCTAATGTTTTCAAATTTGAGTGAAGTCTGTGTCACTACAGACCCGGGACTGTACAGCACAGTGGACACTTATGGCTAGCCCCCGGATCCATTCACTTCTTTTGAATTGTCTGTATGTTTGTGTTTTCCTGAGTATGATGTCCTGTCTGTGTATTTGTTTTTGTGTAAATTTTGTGTGGTGCAGTCCCCCTGCACTTACTATTTAAATAATAATAATGATATAATAGTAAGTAATAGCCGATTAGTACATACATTAATAAACAATTAGTTTGATAACAATCATATACAGTAATAACAAACAGGGTAGGGTGTGGTCGAGTGGTCTGATGCGCGCGTTTCAGATCATAAGGTCTGTCAAATGACAAGGTTCTATCCCAAGCTTGTACAATGTTTGTGACAAGGAGTAGGGTCGCCTGCCCAACTTTATGGGTTTCTCCGCTTTTCTCCCACTGCTAAAGACCCAGATGCACAAGTGAATTATTGAAATAAAATTCTACCATATGATAGTCCTGAAATAGCCTAGTTTGTAGCAAATGGATACAGTAATAAATAATTAATTTAATAGCAATAATAAACAATTAGTTTAATAACAATAATATACAGAAATAATTAATTTAATAGCCATAATAAACAGTTAGTTTAATAACAATAATAAACAATTCAAATTCAACAAGAAACTTACACTAGGGACCGGGTATCGTCCAGATTTTACGAAAAAAGGAAAGAAACTACGCTTATCATCTAGAATTTAATACACGTATCCATCTAATAGATTGGCGTCAAGAATGTGTTAAATGCCATCAAGATTCATCAAAAACCGCCCAGTTTGTGCTACCATGTAGATTAAGAAACACTGTTTACTTTTGACATCGATCGTCTGCTTTACGACCGGAGTGTTTAATTATTTAAGGCGTTTAGTTTTTACGCCAAATTACCACTTTATTGAGAGCCGCCTAGTAATGCAGGGTGCCAGTCAAGTCGTCCACAAGCAAAGTCGTCCACACCCGTTTCTGGAGTCGTCCACACCCGTTTCTGGAGTCGTCCACAACTATTGGTGATGTCGTCCACAACTGAGAATAAGACTCGTACACAATTTAATCGTATGGATGAAATAGCTAGTTCTTGTTGACTGATTTCAGATCGAATCACCGATGTTATTTGATTTCGGATCGAATCACCGATGTTTTTGTAATAAAGTTAATCGTATTGTTTGATTATTTATGATCATTGTTTTGATGTTAGATCGGCATTATGATTTTAGTTTGTTTTGTTCGTTTGTTGTTCACCGATGTTTTTGGAATGAAGTATACTTGTATTGTTTGTTAATTGCCGTTATTTTTTTAGCATTTTTGATTGTCTTTGTAATAAAGTATATTCACATTTTGTATTTGTTTGTTAATTGGCGTTATCAATTGCGATCTGGGTCGG